CAGGCGTTGAGGGAGGTAATGGCCAAGATGATGCCCAAGTATTCCTCTTTATTAGATAACGGCAGTGTTACGCCTTTTAACGTAGGAAGTGTTTAAATAGGGGAATTTGAGTTTCCCGTGTAAAGAGAACCATCGCCGTTTTTATCCGGGTTGGCATTCAGTCCACATTCTCTAGAGCAGGCTCGCACGATACTCAAGAGAACCATAGCCGTTTTTTTCCGGGTTGGCGTACAGTGAGCCGCACCGATCACCCGAATAGATTGAGGAAAATACGGACAAAGACCACCAGGGATCGATCCAGTGCGATTTTGAGCAGTGATGATATGATCTCTTCTGGAAGGACATTATCTAAGGATGCTTCTTTGCCTAGAGAGATACCTAGTGTTAGCTCTGTGAATGCCAAGGACTACTCGATATCGGAAATGATTTTGTGGATTTTGCTTTTAAAGCATAAAGGACTTGTTAGCATTAAAAAAAGGAAAACGGATTTTCTATATGTCACACCCTTTATACACCCAAAAGAAAAATGAATATTTTTTATAAATAACAGCGACTAAACCAGTAAGGGTGAAATGCGAGTGAGTGCACGCAAACATTTGCTTGACGGTCGAATCGAACCCGTACGTGAGTGAATGACATGGAAAGTGTGACTAAAACCTCGTCGAATGAAAACAAGTACACACAAAACTTGTTCAACAATAGCACCAGAGCAAAGAGTTAAAAACATGTAGGGGTTTGCACAATTTGGGATAAATGAACAAAGCAACCGAGCTGCAGCCGCAACAGCAGACAGTCTAAGTCCGTTGGGATGACATGAAAGGAAAAACAATTGAGCGTTGTTAAACGCTTAAATGGTTCACACACTGCAGAGCCACAGAAAGTGGATCGGGGAGTAAGCAAACAAAAATGTGGAAGACAACAAAGGCTTAAAAAAGAAAGCAACCCAAAACAAAAGGCTCACACAGAAAGCTCTGACAGAAATTAAAGAATTATCTTCTTTTTTTTGTTAGTTAGTTTGTGTACAGCTCTGCTGCTTGTGGCATGCAAGCGGGCAGACAATGGCATAATGTTATGAAAATATTTTACGCTCATTACGAGCACAAAAAAACCGAACGCAAAAGAGACAATAATAAAGAAACAAGTCACTGAATTATTACAATCGTTTGTTATTTTCGCTTTAAATGAAGGTAAATGAAATTTTTTCAATGCCTGAATGAAATGCGACTAAAATGGGTGAAACGATGAGAACGAGACAATTGTCTGTAGATACTCGAGCAATGCAATAAAACGGCGGCAAATTATGAACGCAACAAAAACTATGAAAATTAAAATAGAGATACAAAAAAAAATTTAATTAAAAATGGTAAGTGTTACAAATGATACCATGAAAAGTGAGTTGATGGGAAGTGGTAGGTAGGAGTATCTGGTATCGTCGTAAATGAAAATGGCAATCGTGTGAGTGGCAGAGTGAGTTTAATTGCTAAAAAATTTTTGTAAATAATTACAATATCAATTACGATATCTCTGCTCGCAGCTTGACTAGGCGAAGCTTCATGTCTGAGGAAATTATTCGCAAGCACGCGAAGGGTTTTTATTACGATCATGTAAAGGAAAACGAATTTGGAGATACGATAAAGTAAGTTTGTGCGCATCGGGAGAAGTAGCATTGTATAACAAACTATGAGGCACTACTAAAAAGAAATAAGCTAAACTAACTAATTCTGGCAACTATCTTGAAAGCCCTTTACAGTCTTTCGAAAGACTAATTAAAAGATCTGCTGACGAGAATCTCTTAGCATTATGTTGTTCGCCTTTTGCAATAAGTTCTGTAAAAATTAAATGGAATTTAAAAAACATATATTTTTTAAAACTATTAAATAAAAAAATAAATTAAATAAAGAAAAAAAAAATGGAATGATAACAAAACAAAAATAAATACAAATATTTTTAAAAATGAAATGAAAAAAAATTATTTTAAAAACAATAAACTCTAAAAACTAAATTAGAAAAACAAAAAAACTAAATTAGAAAAACCAAAGAACAAATCAAAAAAGAAGAAAATAGTACTTAAAAATAAAAACAATATTTCTATTTTCAACATATTTATATTTCTAAAACAAAATCTACAAATAAAGAGAAAATTAAATTTAAAAAAAAAAACAAAAAAACCTAATTAGAAAAACCAAAGAACAAAAAAAAGAAGAAAATAGTACTTAGAAATAAAAACAATATTTTTATATTTAAAATATTTATATTTTTAAAACAAAATATAAAAAATAAAAGAAAATAAAATAAAAAAGACAAAAAATGCAATAAGATACTTCAAATTAAATTAACTAGAAACCTATATATTTTTCTTTTTAAAACAATGAGATCTAAAAATTGAAGAAAATGAAATTCACAAAAAATATAATACGAGTTGCTAAAAATTTTAGTTAATTAAACAATATTTTTTGAACAATAAAATCTAAAAACTAAACTAAAAAAAGAGAAGAGATAAACATAAAATAAGTTAATAAAAATTAAATGAAAGTAAAATAATATTATCACTTTTAAAAGAAAAACATCTCAAAATTAAAAGAAAATCGAAGAAAAAAATAAAAATAAATAAAAAAATAAAAACTAAAAAAAATTTATATAAAATAAGTTTCTAAAAATTAAATGAAATTGAAAATGTATTTTTATTTTTAAAACAAAAAAAAAGTTTAAAAATCAAAAGTAATTTTAAACAAATTTTTATTAAAAAGAGAAAATTCCGCTGCCCGATGACACGAACTCGAATCTCTATGCTTTTCTAACTTGGCCATTGCGGCGACAACTTAATGAATTTTTTGATGCAGAAATGCATCTCGATGATCTAGGAACATTTCTCCATCAAAAAAAAGTTGTTTTGCAAAAAATTTCGCTCACATCTTTTAGGCGGTTAGAGCTCAATATGAAAGTGCGTTCTCTCAGAATAACTTTTCAACACGAGTGATGAATGAGACAGCTCTTTTTCTAAGACTATTGTGCTAGATTAATAAAAGTCTTTCGAGCTAAACATCTTGCCATCTGTCTTCCATTTGTCTTACGAAAGACGTTTTGCTATCTTAGACAAAATTGTATTGTAGATATGAAAAAGTTTGCGAAAGAGATTTAGTCGTTTGAAGGATGAAGTCTTGTCGAAGACTCTTAAAAAGTAGTATCGCATAAAAAATCTTCGCTCCATCTGTGGTAAGGTAGGTAGTACACATTCTAAATATGAAATATGAGCTCAGCGTGAAGTTAGTTTAAAATTTATTGCGAAATTTGACCCAAACAAACATACTTACATACATACACACAAAGCAAGTTGAATAAAAGCTTATAAAAATGCTTACAATTTGATACCTTTTTTATAAATCTTTGATATTACATTTTTGAATCATAAGACACCACTTTATTGGCAATTTTTCACTCATCATGGGCTTGCGGTCGTGAAAGGGTTAAAATTGCATTTGAAATGCCATCTATATGATTCTCAAGGCTTCATAGCGATAGACTTTCCTCAAAATTCATAAAACTAATGAGCTCACAAACTATTTTTTAATGTGGAGTTGCGCGTTTGGTTCGTAAACCAGCACTCTAACTTTATTCTCAATAAATAATAACAAAAATTGTGCAAATACCAAGTTTCGTTAGAAAAATAATTTACAATAATGCAAGTCAACTATGAATATTTTCACAATCCGTTCAAGCAAAAACGCTAATAATTACGCTCTTGCACAATGAAGAGTTTTAGTTCGCTCATTAGCACTCTTTTCGCAGCTCGCTCATACTTACAGAGGGGTAAGACTCAATAAGCAAACCACGACAAGTAGCGACAATAACAACACCACCAGCAAAAGCGCTCAATTTTCACGAAAAAGTTAGCAAATAAGTAGTATGTAATTCAAAACATTTACCTACCTTAAAACTCGTTACCTGGAAAAACATTTCGAAATTACAAAAAAATCTGCAAATGAGCAACTGCGAATAGTTGACAAAAAGTTGTTGCAAATGCTTGAATTTTTAAAATTCAAAGCATTACATTTGCGTCTAATTAGCTAAGTCAATTTTCGGTTTGTACTCGTGTGCTGCACACACAAAAATATTTACATACATACAAACCTACAAATGCAGAAAAAACTGTTGCAATTAAATGCTACGTGCCACAGGATGTCAATTAAATGTTGCACAAGCAGACAGCAGCCATACATACATACATACAAACGTTCCTACGCAGTAAAGAGACATAGAAATCAGAAAAAAAATCCCCAAGTGCAGCACGTTGCAAATTGGAATTAGCAAGAGTCAACCAAAAACGAAAAAGAAAGAAAAGAAAGCAGCTTTTACTGTCTTGACAACAAAGGGTTCATTGCCTTCATTAAAGGCATACACAATAAAAAAAAAAAAAAAAAACCAAAGAAGAGCAAGAAAAAAGTCTGTAGCACGTAAGGATATACATACTTCAAGTAAAAACAGTGTAAAAGCAAACTAAGAGAAAAGGTCGACGCTGGTACTCTATTTAATAAGACTATTGCCTCAAAGCATTATATCGCTTTGCATCGATGAAGCAAACGACCACAAAGGCAGTCAGGAAAGTCGTTGATGCAGATCGTCATCGGCTTACAGTTACAAAAGCAGCAGGAGAGATATGGTTGCCAACAGCAACGACAACGGCAGCAGCAGCAGCAACATTGTAACCAGCAAAGCTATCAAAATTTACAATCAACTTCAACTCAAAAACTTACAACGTACAAATAGGAAGAAAACTCGTTCGAGCATGTAGGCTGTTGTGTATATTTAGTAGGGTGGTCTATCAGCATTTAAATAAAGCGCAAGAAGTGTTAATTTTCCCGCAATAAACCTGGCCGCCGCTTCGGCGTTCAGACTA